CTTCTATGCAAAAAATACCTTTCTTTACCAATTATGGTTACTATCCACGACTTGATATTTTTGACTTTTCAAAAGTTAATAATCTTGCGGCACAAGGTTTGACAAATTATTTGTCAGAGCTACATACAACAATGAAGATGCAATTAAAAGAAGGTCAATAACAACAAAAGATTAGCGTAGATGCCTATCAAAAGCAACAACCACAATTCAATGTAGGTGACAAGGTATGGTTGCTTCATCATAATATCAAGATTATTTGTCCTTGTGATAAATTGGACTACTATAAGCTTGAACCTTTTTTTATTTGTGAAAAAATCAAACTAGTTGCTTATTGATTACATCTACTAGAAACAATGAAGATCTATCTTGTCTCTCACATGCCTCTTCTTAAATCATATAAAACTATGAACATAGCAAGAAGAAAACAAGCTCTACCTCCTCCTATAGAAAAGGACAATAATGAAGAGTTTGAAATAAAAGAAGTTCTAGACTCAAGGTGGCGCTAAAATAAATTGAAATATCTTGTCTATTAGCATCGATATGATATTAGTAAATATACATAGGAGCCAATAAAGAATCTTTTAAATGTAATAAAGGTGGTAGAGACTTTTCATCGACAACATCCATCTAAATCAAGATGAAGAATTGTAAGTCTTTGTTATAAAAGAAATAAGATCTAAGAAAAATTATATTCTACCTTCTATCTTTATTTAGTAGCTTTTGTGTATTTATAACGTTGAGGAGATAGAGAACCAATAACCAGTAGATTCAACTCAAGAGCTTTTATTTCCAAACTTACCAATTGAGACATTGTGATTGTCACAACCTTCAAGACGATGAAATTGAGATGAAGTTCATCAAGAACGACATGTCTTTCTTTGAATAGATGGCGAGATATAACATATTTGGTATCACAACCTTAGAAGAGACTTCTGATGTTTAGTGATTTTATTAGAGGTAAGAACTACTGCTGATGGTGTTTGAAATGTTTTATTTGAAGGAAGTTACCAAGGCCTCAACTACGACCAAATAATAGGGTGGTCTTTCTGTCCTAATATGACATACTATCGATGGCTGAGAGGGCCTATCAATTATCTTTGAAGAGAATAAAGATCGAAATATGTGACAAATATAATTTACCTCAACTTAGATTTCTTCAACATATGAAGACTGCTCCTCATGGAACTCATCCTTAGAAGGAGAGATAATGTTACAAATATACACATATAAACTAATAATCAATTATATGATTTAAATAATAATTAATAAAAATAGGTTAATTCCATATTATCTTCTATAGAAGCTTCTTAGAAGCTATATAGATGTTGTTTTGACTTTATAGGTATCTTTAATTGATTTTTTAGGTTAAAAACGTAGTCAATAAGTTAGCCATGTGCTACACATGTTGGTAGCTTGAAGAACAAGCTAACTATGTGGCCCACATGTAGAAAACTTGTCTTGTAAGTTAAGACATGTGTCTTGTAAAGTCAATACATATTAAAGGTCCTATAGAATATTGCCACATAGCTCCTAGTTAGATAGTATATATAGAGGCAAGAATGAAGCCCTCTTCAGTCTTGTCAATTCTTTTCTTGTTTCTAGTCTAGATTTAAGTGTCTCTAGTTTCTTTGTCTTTGTGGCAATAGCCATTCCAGTTTCCTTTTAATATACATATTATTATATTTTTATTTTGCTACTTTTCTTTTGATATAGATTTTCTAAGTTTATGCATCTTCTTTCAGTTCATATTTTTGACAGTACATTAGTTAATCTCAAGGCTTTATCATTATAAGAAAAAAACACTTAGTATATAGATTATATAAATCATTCTATGGCCTACAACAATAAGCTTTATATTTAAATTGGAAAGAAGTCCTATTACCTAGATGTCTAAGAAGTAGGCCATTGTAGCCATTTTCTCGTCCAAAACAGAATAGATGGACTTCTCAATAGTATCTTGTGAATTTATGTGGTTAGACAAGTTAATACAAGATTTTGATTTCATCATATTTAAACTTATTATTACATACTATGATAATAAAAGAAGCATCAAGATAGCCACTAATCTTGTTATTAATCTTTGAAAAAAATATATCTCTAGATACTATCACTTCATTCAAGAGGAAATAAATTGTGGAGAAATTTGACTGAAATAGGAGTTACAAAAAAAAAGACCTCGCTATCTGATTCTTCTATGTTTTGTAAATTAGGTCTACTTTGTTCAGCTTTAATTTTTCAATACCTCTATTTTCCAATCACTCTTCTTATTACTTGCAATAATCAAAATATATTGTCAATGGCCTTTGATTGCTGAAGTAATTGTGGCAATATTACTCTCTACTTGATCTTTGAATATAATCCAATCATATTCTTTGTCATATTCTTAACCTACTTCAAACTCTCTTATAGAAAATCCTCCCTTGTTACAAAAATTCTTACTTCTTTTTTGAATTCTCTCACTATTTCTAAATTGAGAATATCTACCTCTTTAGTCAAAATCCCATGTGCATCACATCTACATTACAAAGACTCACAATGAGACCTACTTAGAAATGAACTAACTTCAAGTTATCCTTCAAATCATGAGATTCTTGAAAAAGAAATATCTCAAAAATGATAAAAAATACCTCCTCTTTTGGATGATTGCCCACAAATGACTCATGTAAAGAATCCTCTCTTCTTAACCAGTTATTTGAAGAACTTTCTATGAGAGACTTAATATATCAAAGAAGAGTATACTCTCATGGAAATTTAAAACTACCTGATTTCCTAATTGAGGTTCTCTTCACTAATATTTAATACATAAACAAGCTTAAAAAAATATTAAAAAAAAAAAAAAAAAATGTTGTTAAACTTTAGCTCTTATCAATATCAAAGTAAAGAATTATAAACTTATAAATTACATCTTCTCTAGTCCTAAATAATCTAGAAGTATACAACATGCAACTCCTTTAAAGAAAATATTATCTCTACTTAAGAAGCCCTAAAACTTCAAACAAAACAAGTAAATTATCAAAAGCACAATTAAAAGGAATGTCACATGAAGATCCTTCAAATCCACCTTTAACACCTAATAAAGGTTTGTTCTCATTTCTACTTATTGTGTACATGTTTAAGGATATGTAAAAATAACCACCATCAACTAACAAAAGACGTCATAAATAATATATTTTGCTATCTATAAGAAAATATTCATCATCACCATCAATAAAAATAAAAACACCAACTTCATGGTTTCTATTTTTTTAGATGTCTATTCTATTTTAGATTTTAGAGTCTTAGCTATAAAACTATCTTTTTGATATCCTCCATCATGAATGATTTTGTAGTGAAGGAGGGTGTTGGAATATTTGTCCCTATTCCATCATCCTCCTACTTATGTTATTATCTAGATTCACAAATACTTGATCTTAGATCCACTTTTTTCAAAGAAAAATAGATCTTATCCTATATTTTTTTTATATTTATATGACCACTACTAGATTCTTATATTATGTTTATTGTATCTTAGTAAATTAAATTTTTGTCTTATGATCCTTTTGATTGAATTACTTCCTCATCTTCAATCAATCCATCTTTGCTCTTATTGTCATATACTATGTCTTGATCACCTTATCCATTTTTTCTATTATTCTCAATCAAGCCATAATTAATGTAGAAAAACTTAATTGGTTTAGCCATTCATCGTGCACACATTAGATATCCACAATATAATTGTAAATTAGGAAAAAAAACTCCAAAGATACAAAAGTGAGGGATAAATGTAAAAAAGTGTTCATCTTTAGATGGATGATGAATATATGATATGATACCTATGGTAAGAGTAAAGATGGATTAATTCATATATATATATATATATATATAATTCATCATTAACAACTTTATTTTTGTTATCTTTATTTACATTAATAAAAATATTTGAAAAACAAACTTAAAGACTTTAAAACAATATCACATTAAAAAAAATTCAATAAGTTCTTTGTCATTTTATTAAGCTAGCATATTGGACTTGTAATAAAATAATAATTTGGTTTATTTCATGGCCTCTTCTTCACTTTGTACTATATTAAACAAAAAAGTATTTTAAAAGAAGACTTTTCTTCATCAAGTAGGGGGACTGAACAAGCCATTAGAACCATAGCCTTTCAAATTGATTTCTAGATATAAAGTCCCTGTCATAATAAATTATACGAAAAAATTAATTAAAAGTTGTTTTACCCAAAAATTAAAATTTTCAAATAAATTATTATGATATGTATTCAAAAAATTGTAAAAATGTTTAAATTTATTTTTAATTACAAAGTTACCATTTAGATGACAATCAACTAAAATGCCAAATGGATAATAATTCAAAATGTATTTTTAATAAATACTTTACTAATTAGCACTCTAGAATTAATTTTCTCTGTAAACAAGAAAACCTATATTGTCAACCTTCACAGATTCCAAGTTGCACATTTCAAAAAGATAATGATCATTGTTAATTATTTCATTTTATTTTTTTGCAATCACACTGAACACGTCATCAAAATACCACTTCAATACTCAAGTTCCATTCTTATTGTTGTAAATGAAGTTTGACCACAACCAAGATATTTCATTGGTAGCAAAATATCAAAAACAGAAATAAAAATAAAAATTCAAATAGAGACAATTCCTCCATTAAGTCATAACGTAAAAACAATAAATTTAATCACGTGGTGACTATCCGCAGTAAAATCTTCACAGCCACCAAAACTTTAACACCAAAAATCAACATTGAAGATCTCAGGTCAAGGTTTTTGGACTAAAGGCTCAGCACACCACGACAACATTTACTCACAGCCCTGCCTCCATTAGTAGTAAAATGACTTGAAACAGCATATTCTGCAAATACTTGGACTCTTGTGAAAAGCTTGACACTAACTCCCACAAATTCTCTGTAGAAAAGTCTCCCCCTAGCCAACACAACTGCAGCTATTTTACACCTTGAGAAACATTCAACAAACAATTCTTTCCTACAGAAAAGTGCGACAATGGAGAAGTTTGCAAAATTCTAGTATATATAGCAGGTTTGCATAAAGATTCAAGAATCCTGGGCAGCTCCCAGATTTGTACCTGCCCTGCACAAACATGTGTTGGATGTTAATACATCTTCTGGAGATGGGTTGGAATTATAGAGCCAGTATGTGAAGGTATTATGCGCACAATCAATGGAGAAGGGGCTGCAAAAAGAGCAGCCTTTGGTAGCCTCGAGAGAATCCAATGATAAGCGGGCCATGGTTTCAAACCCCAGCGACCTCGCATGCAACCACCTTGTAAGTTATTTAAACGTCGCAGCACTGCCTTATCTCACTATTGGGTGATTATGCCTCTTCTTCATCTTCTTCATCTGCTTCTTCGTCTTCTCCCTCTTCTTCCTGTGTTTCGTCCTTCTCCACCCAAGTCCTCCTTCTATTATGATAGCATATTTTGATGATGATCAGCTGCTCTCTACTGCATGCAGATCTCTATCAGTGCCCAGACTGAGTACAATTTCTCATCGTTGTCACTCTGCTACTACGTGTGATCAGTATTTCTGCTCCTCTTCTTCTTCTTCTTCTTCTTCTTCTTCTGCATTTCAGCCAACGCTCCCATGATAGCGGCTACCGTTCCGCAAGTTTCTGTGATCTTGGTGTCTCTTGTGAGAGCACAAAAGGTGGTATTGTGAAGTTCGTGGAGGAGCTCGGTGGAAGGTTGATAGGTGGTAGCAGAGATGGCGGAGGTGAAGCAGCTAGTACGTTGTTACGTGGCGCTAGGGTTGGTAGTGGCTCATTGTAAGTCCAGATGAGCTTGAGCCTTTGATTTCTTGAGGATTTTGCGTCTTCTTGAGTCGAGTTTATGTAAAGGAATATGTGTTCGGCTTTGAGGATTTTGGGGTGTTGGGTATGTTTTGATGGCATTCTATGAATGCATTCTAAGACTAGGTGTATATTTGACGAATCCACACATTCTGACTTGGGTGCTTCTACCATGAATCCGTACTTCAGTAGAATAAGCATTCCTGCTTTGTAGAATCTGTATTCAACCCGCCATTACTGGCCCTACTTCATTTGTCTAGTTTGTTCGCATACGTGATTGACTGGAGCTTTCTTAAAGCCGCCATTGTCGATTTTCGCTGACGAATGTCACACGAAGGGCCTTCTGAACGTCTCTATTATCTGTATGACATTCAACTAAATATTATTCTCGAGTTCAATGAAACTAAATCCCAAGAGTATGCTGTTTATCACAACTAACTACAGCAGATAGATATTGGCAACCAAATGATGGAGCAGTTTCAAAATTCTAGTGTATATATATATATATATATATATGGAAATATTTTTTTTCTTTGTAACTGGCTAATAATGTTCAGTACATCTGAGCAGTGGCTTCTCTTCAGATTTTAGAATTTAAAGACAATGCTCCAGCAATCCTTTTCCCAAAGCAACAAATGTTTTGTTATTAGCTTCAAAGTTGAGAGCTCTAGTCTATCATGTCTGTTAGTTTCTAGTGGACTTTTTGCAATTTTCGTGTAGTTGTTGTGAATAGATTAGTCAAGTGCGATTAAAATCGTAACCTTGTTATATTCTGTTGAAAACAGGTCCATTAGCTGGACGAAATCCCTGCTGAGGATAGAGGGCAAACCACATATATTCCTGGCAAAGTCGTAGCCACTCAGCCACAGAGGACTCTTCTCGACAACCCCAAATTACATGTCGTGAACCATGGAGGTTGGCTCGTTGTAGAAAAGTGGATTAAGCCAAAGTTGTTTGATGGCATACCTGACGGCGATCTTCTTGTAGGTGGCCCTCACTTATTTTTCTAATACAAACGCCTTTTTCATTCCCAATTCGATAAAGGAAATATCTTTTCCAGTGTGTCCCTTTCATCCAGACCGTTGTTGAGCTCGACGGTTGACGTTGTCTTTTTGCAAGGTCTGTTGGAATGAGAGTATAATATAGAGAGGCTGGATGGTCTGTACCTTGTACGACTCCATTTACAAGCGCAATCAGCCTCATGGCCAGCTGTGATTTGGGAGTGATGGGTAGCTCGAAAATCTCGACCAAGTTATGGCTTTGATCTACATTAATTTGAATATTAAGCATAACTGGGCGTGCAATAAGTTTTGAATGAAATATGACAATGAAACCAGGATGGAATAAAAATTTCATTGCAATCTACATCGAAAGGAACTATTGTGTCATTTGGAGCAGGTAGAGGAAAACAGGTTGTTCCGAATGAAGCAGCTATTTCTGGTTGGGAGACATTCGACGTGGGCTCCTAATCCCTGCACCTAATACGTTCATCGTCACAGCAAAACTTCCCCTTTCCAGTTCCTTCTGCATCTCATGCAGATAGTGTTAATTGAGGTCAATCTTTTCAAAACTGTAGTTTCTTTTCTGAAGAATGATAGGATGTTACACCAGGCCATGAGTATGTCAGACTTAAGTTGTCGATCTTACATGGCTGAGGGCATAAACTTCGACTCAATAGTGCACAGCTTCAAAACATACTAACTAAATCATGTCCAACTTGCAATTGTAGAGGACTAAGGGAAGCATTGAGCGTAGCCTTAAGTCTTCCATGTGTGGTCTCTTCTGAGCTGCACAAATTCAACTTGTGAGGTGGATTAACTTGTTGAATAGATTTGGCGAGTATCCGCTGGAGTCTACCAATTGCGAGTGCAATAACATGTTTGTGTCAGCAATTAGTGGAAGAGGAGGGATTGTGCTAGCAGCTGCAGCAAGTCCATATGACTGGAAAACTTTCATCATCCGCAACCAAGCAAATCCTTCTTTGGTTCATATCCAAGCTAATAACGACATGTATCTCTAGGTACGCTTGTCCTCTGAGATATTGAAAGCAGTCTGTTGCATCTTGTTCTTTTTGTAGGAATTTTTGGGTTATATTTGTGAAGCGCTTGATTCCTCTTCAACATGTGGATGAATATAAGTTCCAGATTTCTATGAAAATTTTCTTTTATATCTCAATTTATAAACAACTAAATTAATACAAGGTTTGGTCGTTGATTTTATAGAAACTGTAGCAGAATGATGTAGTTCGTAAGCAAAGTAATTGTTCTTGACAATCGCAATGTTGTTGTGCAGGCAAAGGATACAAACCAGTTGACAGCAGACTTTGAAGGGGAACCGAGATGGGATAACAATGATGCCACATTTATTATGATGGTCAGAACCACATTGGGTACCAGCTTGCTAACGGCTGGGGAGCGTCTGCCCCTGCTGTTTTTAAGGTGAGGCAAATTAATGTAATAGTTGTTTAATTATGATATTAATAAAATTGTGTTAGAGATGTGTTCATGTCAGCATTTTTTAATAGTTTTAAGCTGCAATCCGTTCATTTGTCAGCTTGGGGTCAGCCTTTGATTTCTAAGGAAAAATGATCATGTAGTCAATTTGTCCATCTTTGGCCATGTGGGACTGAGGTAGTGTCCATATCCATGTAGAAACACAGAGACTCATTTATCATAAAAGGAGACTTTTGGTTTCTTGCCAATAACGGCATCAATGTTGTGTGTATTCTAGTCGGCTATTGGATAGCAGTAGATCCGTACCCTCCTGCACCATACGTTTCTAGTTCCTTTGAAGCTCTGGATAATGCATTTCATTGGGTCAAGCATGAGAACAGATGCTTTACTCTTCCCTTGTCACTTATTTTGAGATCTTTACTTGTCTTCCGCCTTGTAGATGGAAATAACATGGAAAAACCTCGTCTACGTGCAGCTACGTTGAAATATACCAAAATAATCAGTGATTATAAATCAACTTAATCGCAAAAGGTGTGTGTCTTTTCGATGACTTATCTACGTGCTTCTTGGACTGGCAGTGCTCACGGGATCAAAGTTATCATAGACCTTCATGCTGCCTCCGGCTCTCAAAATGGACAGGAGCACAGTTCCTCATGCAATGGTATTTCTGAATGGGCTAAGCAAGGAGGAACAGATTATTTGTACGAGTCGATCATGGCTACAGAGTTTCTGGCTAGCAGGTTATTCTCTAAACCTCAGTCCAGAACATGTCTTATTGAGTTAGTGTTCTAAATTATCCAACTTTGATTGCAATGGTGTCGGCTCAGACGTTCTCACTCCTCTTGTTAAGTGGCGAAAGGGTGGCAAAAAGTTTGGTGACATTGTGTATGTGGCTACTAACATTCGATACCAATTTTTTATACGAAGATATACAAACAACCAATCGTTATTGGGAATTGAGCTTCTGAACGAGCCGAGTGCAGAAATGGTCCCCTTCGATGTGTTGGAGTATTACTACAAATGGAGTTACAGCGTAATACGAAACCATACAGCTTCCGCGTATATGATCATGTGCCAATGCATTAGAGGTGATTGGACGGAGTTTGTAAACGTGTTGCCAGCAGATAACGTTGTCCTTAATGTTCATTTATACAACCTTTTCAATCTAGACCTCTTTGGTATGACCACCGCCCAATGGAATATTGATTTCGTATATAACGACCAGCTCAGTCTTCTACAAAAACTCAACATGGCTGGGAATGCTCTCATCTTTGTTGGTGAGTTCTCATGTATCCAATTATATCTTGTCATTTGATTCCCACTGAGTTAACTCAGATAATTCATGATTTGAGAACTCTTCAAATTCATGCGAGAAGTTACATAACAAAGAGCATTCTTCTTACTGAAATGACAGCTGCCCTGCTTTTGATGCATCCCATTGCCCTCCTTAATTTGACTATTTATTTCTTTATGGTTGACCACAAGAGAGTGAGCAAATGAATGGGAGGTTCAAGCTGCATCCTAAAATGATTATCAGAAGTTTGGGCAGCTCAACTGCAGGTGTTTGGCCAAGCGACCTTTGGTTGGGCTTATTGGACATATGAGAACCAGCATAACCTTTGGTCATTTAAGCAATTCGTCCACCAGGGTTATCTTCAAGCTCCATGGAACTGGTGGCCATAACAGAGCACCTCCTTAGACTCCAGATATGGCACCATACTAATAGAACTTCCAATTCATGTTCCTGATTCAAGCATGACAAAATTTAGTTGGTTGAGTCTTGTAACATTTTCATGATCTATCAGGTCTTGAGATAGTTGACTGAAATTACCATCAACGATGTCAGAAATGTCTTTTTAAGAACAATACTTGGCAGCCGGAAAGCTTTTAACGTCATTCAACTAATTTCTTCTTCAATTGGAGTGTGGAAGCAAAACTATCTTTGCCTTCGGACGAAACCAAACTCTCAAATGGTTGTTTTCTCTTTACTTGATGCGAAGTCAGTCAACTGTGAGTAGCTGATAACCAGGTTCATATTAACATTGAAATAATCGGAACTTTTGAAGAAGTTTTGGCATGTGTCAATACCTAGTGCAAGTGTAATGTCACTAGATCTAGACTTGAGCATGGATAGATAATTTAGTTAGATGGTGTATCCTACAAATTCGTTTCCACATTATTTATTTTTTCCTCAAATGGAACTGGAAAGTTATTTAACGTTAATGGCAAGTCCATCCAAACTTGATTGTCCTTGGCTTGAATTTTGAAGCTATTGCAATTTTACTAACTTGCTTCTTTCAATCTTCATATCAACTTACAAGGTTTCTAATGAGCAAAATACTTTAAGCATTGTTAATTTTTATGTGGTTGTGAGTCAAATATAAGAGCATTAGATTTTGATCATGAATAGAATTTACAAAGATTGTTGAGGTTAGTGAAAGACTTTTATTCTTGTAAATGATATTGGCCATGGCCAATACACAATAAATATATGTTTAGATATTTATGTATTCTTTTAAGATATGCCTTCAAAAACAAGACACTCACTTGAGGCAAAGTATTTTCATAGAGTGTAGAATTGTTTTAACTCTTTAATATTTAGGCAATATTAAAGTTTAAATAATGGTTAGAAATTAATAAAAAAAACTTTAGATACTATAAAAAAATGTTATTAGTCAATTTAATTTTTTTTATAGCTATTAATTTAAAAAATATATATTTTAACTTAGATTTAGTAAATTACTAAGGAAATCTATAAAATTTCTTAGAATTTTATTAATATTAGGTAGAATAGATGGTGGTTACATTCTCATATTAGAATCTCTTTATTATATTACTTCATATTGTTGATGTAAGAGATTTTATTCTTATTTACTTGAAGGAACTATTAGTGCAAAATATAGTTTTTAGGATTATGATTGTGGATGGTGTAGTCAAATTTATGATTAGATATAATTCTAAAATTCAAAAATAAAAAAATACCATGAAAGATATTTTTTTTATCTTTTAGATTTATTGGTGATATTTTTTATTCTACAAGACTAAGGTTTTATTCACTATATAAAAGAAAAATAAGTAGATTGCTCAAAAAAAAAGCTCTTTGGAATTTATTGAATTAATCATGAAAATATAAGAAGGTGTCATGTTAACAATAGGGGGTATTTTTTTACCAATAATATATATATATATATATATATATATATATATATATATATATTACCTTTGCTAAAAAAATTCTATTAATTTTTGATAAATTATAAAAAGATGGAAAAACCAATATGATTTTATAATGATTATGTTATATTTCTCCTAAGTTCTTAATTATGGCCTTGATAGAAAAATATAACTTTATAGAGGGAAAAAAAGTAGAGATGGAAAAAATATAAGAGAATACAAATAGGTCTTTTTTGAAGATGTTGTGAACATCTCCACCTCTTTGTACTTGTTGATGATAAATAAGCTCAACATTTTAGCCATTTAGCTATCATAGACATATACATGTAAATCAATAATTACCTATATGATTAGATAAAAGTAGATGAAAGTAGATTAATTCCATAATATCTTCTATAAAAGCTTCATAGATAGTATTTTGACTTTATAGATATCTATAATTGACTTTTTAGATTAGAAATGGGCTTAATAAGTTAGCTATGTGCCACATATGTTGGTAGCTTGAAGACCAAGCTAACTATGTGATACATATATAAAAAACTTGCTTTATAAATTAAAGCATGTATCTTACAAAGTCAACATATATTAGAGGTCTTATAGAACATTGCCACATAACTCTTAATTTGATAGTATATATAGAGGTAAAAATAAAGCCTTCTTTACTCTTGTCAACTCCTTTCTTGCTTCTAATTTAGATTTAAGAGTCTCTAATTTCTTTGTCTTTTGGCAATAGCCATTTTAATTTCTTTTTAATATACATACTTCTTTATTTTTATTTTATTATACTTATTTATTTACTTTCATAAAATTTTTGTTCTTGAAAAATTAATAAGAGTATATTTATAATAATAGAGCCTTATCTTTTCTCGACTAAGAATAAATTACTTCTTTTTCTTGATAAGACAAGCATATTAGAACTTACAGATTACCCTCTTTTAAATTAATATTATTCTTCTTTAATATCTACTCCTTTTTTTTTATATGACTTAAGTAAAATTAGATATTTTTTCTAAGTATTATTATGGAAGAGCTTATTGAAATGAAGAATGAAATGGCACAAATGCAAGAGAAATTGAGAAAATTAATACTTGTGATGCATCAACTCAATTTACTACCACAAGGAATAATAAAAATGATATGAAGAAAAGATATAAATATGATTGAAACTACTTCAATATCTGTACCAAATCATATCCTTTGTCTTATGATGGAACATCCTTTTGATACTAGAAAACTAAAAGTTGCCTTACTTAAGAAGTTTGATGGCACAAGGTTCGAGTTTCAAAGATTTATCAATTAAATACAATTTGTGAATGAACTTCAACTCTAAAGCTATCCAATTCTAGGATCACAAGTTAGATTCATAGGTATATTTCTTTCAGGTTCAGTATTATTGTGGTTTTCATCTTTTTTTGAATGATGAGATCTAATATTAGATAATTTGGAGGCATTTTTAATAGAGTTTTGATCCATGTATAAAAAACATGATGCAATTCGTATTGCAATCTACAAGATCTATATTTTATGAGAAGATAATCGATCCATATCATTATATGCTTCACAATTTTGATAACTTGTAATTAATATTAAGTGAAATGATGCTACACTTATTAACCAATTTTTCTATGGATTACAATATGAAGTAAAGAAATTAATGCTCAACTTATCTGATCCTCAAACATTGAGTCAAACAATTGACTTTGCTAAGAAGTATGATAATTGACTTTTCAAATTTTGATTTGAGAGTCGGACAAGTGGGCTTCAAAGTTATTATAATTCAATGGCAACACCAATGCTGTCATGATATTATATGAGTACATAGTAAAACTACAATCAAAATTAAATTTCTAATTAATATCTAATTATTTTAGTTCAATAATAATTCAAGATATCTAAACATGGCTTTTATAAAAGCCTCTTAGGTTATTTTCTTATTTTAATAGTTAGTATGTTGAAGGTTGGTTAGTACTTTTACTTTTTAGGCTAGAAAGACTCTTATACTACCTTAGAAAGACCATAAATTGATAAAATCAAGTTGACAGAGATAAATAATTAGTATGATTGATACTAAGGTTAAGTTGAAGATAGGATTGGGCTAAAAAATCCTTAGGATAGGTTAGATTGATATCCAGGGGTCGATCATTTATGAACCAAGGTCAAAATCAGTTCTTTAGCTACTAAAATGACCGCTTAGGAAAAAATAGGGATTCATTCAAAGATTGGAGATTAGGATTTGAGACCTAAGTTGGAGCTTATTCCAAAGACATAAGATTGGTTTTGAAAGGATTTATAAAGACTTAGCAATTTTTATTGAAAGTCAAGGTTTGTATTGGCAAGTTGAGATTTAAGTAATGAAATTAGGGCTAGCACTTTCAATTAGTTCGTAAAATTGGTATCACATCTATAATTCAAATTTCAATGGTACTTGATTAATTAGGTTTTCTAAGTGTATATAAAATTTTGTGATAATTCAATGGTGCAATTGAAAAATATCTAGGTTTTGCTACAAGAACATATTGGAAGTTGGTAGTTTGGAATTAGATAGGGTTTCTATAATATCTAAAGATCTATTAGTTGGATCAAGGTGAAATTTTGCATGATATTGGAAGACTTAAAGATCAAGCTATCCACCAATTTTGGATTGAAGTTAATGGTTAGAGAAGAAGACATCACTGCTGAAGCTTCTATATTACCTTTTAAGTTGGCAGCCAACTGACATCAGTGCAATTTTTGGAGGTTTTTTTTACAATCTATAAGTTGGATTGGGCTGAAATTTCTTGAGCGTATAAAAGACTTATATTGCCAATTGCATACAAAATTTTACATCAAGTGGATAGTCTAATTAGAAGTTATAGCTTGTCAAAGCTCACTAATTAGAGTTAAGACTTGCAAGAAAAATCTAAATTACTTAAATATGAATGTAACAAGGTAATTGGGATTTATGTATGATTGAGGCTACTAAGAATATTATTTTTAATACTTTTAAATTGAAATTTTTATTATATTCTTTTCATATGGGTGAAACCTATTAGAATTTTTTTGATACTTGTGAAACATAACTTCACCTCCCACAGCTAGATGGCCGATGCATTTTCTAACAAGAAAATATGTAATATGACAACACCTCCTCAATACATACATTTGGAATTAGAGGATATACAAATTGATGTGGTACATTTCAAACTTCTTACTGAGCAAGAAAAAACTCGTTGTCATTAGGAAGGATTGTGCTTATATTATGGAGAACATAAGCACATTACTCAATATTGTCCAAAGAAAAAATATAATTATAAAGTAAGGATTATGAATGTCTAAGAAGACAATATATCAGAAAATAAGTTTGTTCAACTATAATAGGGATCATGTGGCTTGAATCTTATACAATACCTAATGAAGGTCCTATTTTTTCTCCAAAATCTTCTCTTTGTTTTATATTAAATATTATCTTAGGACCTAAATATTACAAAGCCTTTGCCTTGTTAGATTCAAGAGCCTCAGTGTCTTTCTTAGATGAAGAATTTTTTAAAAGACTTAACATATCTTTAAAAAGGAAAACTAAACCTATTCACGTAGAAGTCATAGATGGTCGCATGTTGCTTTCTGGAGATGTTACTAACAAAATTCTTCCTATAGAAGTAATAACTAATGGTCATAATAGCTTTGTGGGATTTAATATCATTAGATCTCCCTCTAATCCAATCATTTTATATTTATCATGGTTAAAAAAATACAACCTTTGAATAGATTGGATTTCTCATACTCTTGACTTTTCTAAAAGTATAACTAAGAGTGTAGTTAATCAAGTAAAAAATTACAAGTCTAATATAATTAAACCTATGTTTATAAGTGCAAGAGCTTTCTTGCATGCTGCAAAAGCAGGATCACCTTGTGTCATTTATGCCACACCCATTTCTAATAGTTGTGAGTCATAAAATTGACTCACTAGTTATTTTAGGTCAAAAGAATGCATTTAGAGTGCAAAAATTACAATTTTTAGGTGAAGATTTTCTTAGAAGAGGTTAAAGGAAGAAGAATAGTATTAGTGGAA